GAGATTCCTAGACACTAAATAACTTGTCTAAGTCATCTTAACTAGAATGAGGGAAGGACAGAAGTAAAACACACATCTGGCTGTCTCCACAACCTGTCTTCTTCCCCTTGGGCCACCCTCCTCTGTATGAACGGCATCACAGAGCCAAACCCCAGTCCTGCCTTACTTACTCCATCCCCAAAGCCCCAGACCTGAGGCCAAGATGTTCCTGGCCCTCACTCCCTGAATTTTATAGTCCTTTTATATGCCTGAATAAAGGTTCTAGCCATGTCTTAAAGTATCTTCTGTAACTGGATCATTTCCTGTTTAATGAGTCCAACACTCCTCGTTTATCAGCAACACCTTTCCCTTTGCTGGCGCCTCATACGCTGCCCTGTCTTCAGCCTCAGCAGGCCTCCTCCCAGAGGAAGTTGGGCAGAGGGGCAAGTGTTCTATTCTCTGGTTACTGTTTTTAGTGGGGCCACCCCTCAACTGACTGTTTCCCAAAGATCTTGTACCTCTTTGGACGCCAGCACCCCTGTCCCTGAGTAGAGTGTTACCTCTTCAAGAGCTGGGCTGGGAAACCAGACGCCAGGTAAAAGCCACCCACCCCTTCTGTTTGCAATGCAAACTTTTTTAGCCACATAATGTAATCCACTCAGCCACACCTCTAAACGGACTGAATGGGACATGGAAAAGGGGCAAGAGATTATAAACTACCACCTGGCCACAGAATGCATGGGAAAAATGGATTTCTCAACAGGACTACCACCACGGAGTCATTGAGTTGTGCCCAAAAATGAGAATTACCAGGAGGGAAAAATTCTGCAGAAAAAAATTCATCTTTAAGGGGAGTTGCTCAGGGCTGAGATACTTCTACCTAAGGTTCATGTCTGGCTGCTCACATATTATATCTCTAATCCCATTTTTCCCATAATTTCTGTGGTTTTTATTGCAGTGATTTTTAGGAATATATAGTTCTGCTATTGTAGAACTGGCTACTTTCAACATCATATTTCCCTGAAAAGGCACTAAAAAGACAGACAGCTTAGGAAATGTCTAGATGTGGAGGTTGAGAGAAATAAAAAGTGTTTTTAGTAGCAAGAATCAGGAAGAAAATATGGGTGAATATATTAATGCTCAGGAAATTTTATAAATTTAGAGATTAGGTTCATGTCCCTCACTATAAACAATGTATTTTAATTTTATGAAAGGAGAATAATTTCAAATTGATGGCAATTTTTCACTTAGTAGTTATTTCACTTAATTATTTATTTCACTTAAATAATTATTACTTTTGAAACCATTCCTCAGCTGTTTCTAGCCTACCGGTACTAAAGGTTTTGAAAGCAACTTGTGAAGAGGAACTCATGTGTTTGTGAAAGGGGGGTGACTGAATGGCCTTTATGGCATCTGCTTTGTTCAAATTGCTCTACCCACCCCTGCACGGCCAGCTTCAGCCCTACTGACTGGCTTGCTTTTTAAAACCAACCTGGTAATAGAAATTTCACTAAACATCTTTGAAAGACAGTAGTGCTATTTGCCAAATTTTCCAGGTTCTTGCTTTCTAAGCACATGGTAGGAATGCACTTCTGGGCTCCTGTGGGTCTGCTCAGTGGGTGGAGGTAGATGGATAACGGCGCTGATACCCAGGAATGTCATGGTACCGAGGGGGATGGCCATCTTGAATGAGCTCACACATGAGCAAGTTGTGAAAGGCAAATATTTTCATTTTTATTTCTAAAATAACAATCAGAATCTTTCTCTACATAGTTATTTTAACACACACATATGCACATAATAATACTTACAAGAATATTTTCCTTGTTTCACAAATGAGAAAACCAAGGTCCTGGGAGCTAAATTATTTTCCTCAAAGTCTAAAACAGACTAAAATATTAATCATACTAACAAGTCCTCTTATTTTAATTCTGTTCCTTATCTTGAGGGACCCTACCATGACTTAAGGTCTCCAAAATAGATTCAGTGTTTCTCCTGACACCCGAGCCTCCAGTCCCACCCCCAGCCCTACCCCTGGGTCTAGCTCCTGTCCCCCAGAGCACCCAGGATCCATGCAGGAATGGGTGACTGGGCATGTGGAGCCACAGAGCAGGGCTCGGAGTGAAAGCAGACCAAGCCTAGCAGGGCCGCCACAGCCCCGGCCCGGCCAGGAGGTCACAGAATGGCTGGCT